GGGGGGGGGGATTTTTCGAGTTGATTCCGAATTGTGGAATATTTTTCTCTTTGACATTCGACGAACGAAATGAAAACGCCCTTTTCCGAGGAGAAGTAACTGCGACGTAAACTTAACACGCTCGAAAGAACGAGAAAAAGCAAGCACTGTGGTGAAAGAGATGATATATATGACATCTCTCTGCACAGATCGACTCCTGCTTCCCTTTAAGAAAAGAAGTCTACAGCATATGCAACGACGACCTGACGCTTCCTCAACGCTCATATATTGACGAATGGACGGTGCGGGATGAAAAGGGGCAATAATACCCGTACCATATTTTGACATACATAAACGAACGAAAGACAGATCGCGAAGCCTGCCATAACAAAAACCAAAATGGTTGTCGCTTTAGCTTCCATGAACAAAAATTGTGACTGTTTCGTTTATCCCGACTCTCTGGATGTTTTGTTTCTCCCTTCCCTTTTCATCCCAACGGCTCTGGGTATCAGAATGGAGGATGCCGTCTGTGGGGGCTGCAGACTACCATATCTATTGTTTTGTCCTCCAATGCCCTTGGATAATTAATTCCTTCCTCCCTTCCTCCTTTTGATACAACCGGGGGTATTATAATAAAATAACATAAAATAAACCCCGAATGCGCTCTTCTCACCTATGTCAGATGCGACATCGCCATTCAACTTGCATTTTTCCAATCCATGTTTGCATTCCCTTTCCAAACCCCTTCTTCCTACCCTTCTTTTGTTCCGGTGCCGTGCCTCAGATGAAATCTCCTTTCTACTCTTCTTTTCTGTGTTACCCTTTCCCCCTTTTCCTTTTGTCCTCAATATTTTTTGTTTCCCCTTTCATGTCCATCTCCTCGTTTCATGGCTTTATTTTTTTCTTTTGGTTTTGCTATTTCCTATTTCTCCCTTGTCAGATATAAAAACCCATGTACTTGTAGTGTTACAGCTAGAATATAGGTGAAAGGACCCGTGAAAATTGACCCCGAGAAATGAGTGCCTCTGCCTGCATTTTACATGGATTTCATGATGCCACATATACACCCACATCAGTAAAAATTGATTGTCTCATAATCATAGAACTTTTAACTATAACCACCGATGGTATCTATCAAGGATATGAATATCGAGAAATATACTATTTTCATACCATCTATCTGTCTATCTATCCATCTATCTATATTGCTGTATGTCTGGCTGTCTGGCTGCCCGTCTGCCCAATGTGCCGTACAAAAATATATAATTTTCTATTTTCGTATGGCTGATGTGGAGGCAGTGAGCAATCTGTATATCACTACATATTCATATCAGCAAAGATAGCACATCGATAAATATCGCCAACTAGATCTTCATATCATCAATAGTCACCACTGGATTGTTATAACTATAGTTTCCAATGTTAGTTAAGTTTTAATATACTAGTAGATAGATACTAGATATATATAGGTGGGAGATGGGGAGTGAGCAATTATACATTCCTGGAGCCATATGATTTGATTGGTCAACTTTTTGAGGTTGGCGACGGATGCGTACAAGATCGTGTCCGTGAACCCGCCCGCAACCAGTATCCCTCCCAAGAGTACCATCAGTGGTTCAATTCGGCGGTGTGAGGGAAAGGGTTGAAAAAACGTGTGTTGGTTAGTTCAACTTCGGTGCCAGCGTATAAATAAGAGCCCCAGACTCCTCCAAGGATATATCCATCTTATTTCTCTATCCTACTACTTGCTCCAAGACAACTTCTGCCCTCTATTTCCCAGATGGCCTCCGAAAACATCTGCTCGGCATGTAGCTGGTCAGAAACACGCCAAGCGGGGTGTCGCTATAATAGCCATGTGAAAATTTTCTACGGTGTCAGTAATCGAGGAGCATGGTCTTTGGGATCAAACCTGGTTCTGAAAGAACGGTCCATTGAGCCACCCAACTTCGAATCCCTCAACATTCGTTTTTTGGCTGAAAGAACTTCAATACCTATACCCAAAGTCGTTGAGGAGTGGCAGGAAGTCGACGGGACATATTTCCTGCTCACCAGACGGATTCAAGGACAACCCTTGAGTGAAATCTGGCCCACCATGTCCGCAGCGGACAAAGAACGCGTCGCAAAGCAGACCGCTGACTATTTGATGCAGCTTCGCGGGCTTCACTCGAACCGAATGGAAAGCATAGGCGGACAACCACTATACTCGGCGTTTCTATTTCTGAATGGCTACGGCATTGGGCATGGGCCCCTTTCGTCAGATGATGAGCTGTGGGCTGAGATGTCGTTGGCCTTGTCAAATGTGCCAGAGGAAATTCGCTTGGAACTACGTCGACGTATGCCAAGTGCTGCTCCCTATACATTCTCCCACGCCGACCTTACCAATGTCAATATTATCGTGGATAATGGTAACTTGGCAGGTATTCTGGACTGGGAATCTTCGGGCTACTTTCCTGTTTGGTGGGAGTTTACTTGCGCAGGAATTGGTCTAGGGCAAGAGGACAAAGAATGGAAAGATTTACTACGCATGCATCTGCCGGATCATACAGAGGCCCGCAATTTTTGGTTGGATTTCTACGCTTTGCGCAAATATCCGAATTTGGACGAGAGAGGATTAAGTTTTTTAAATAGTTCTGGATTGAGCATGCCCAAGTGAAGCATAAGAATGGAAGTGAGCTACTCTCCCACAGATCTTCCACAGTAAAAAGCAACGAATGGCACTGTTTCCGACAAAATTTGACATTTAGGATCAGCCAGCCTGTTTCTTTTCCAGAGTGATCATGCCGCTTTGCTGATTAATAGCAGTGTCCTTTCAGTCGTCAATGTTAAAATCGAATTTAATCGAGACTGATCTATACATACCATATTTAGCATGACAGGTCAGGATATGGCGGCAGGCAGCTAAACACCACATAGTTCACAAGAGGTTCTCCCAGTGATATTGCTCATTTTGCACTTAGGACATCTCACTTCACCAAGTTTCAATCTTTATCGAACTCAATGAAGTCAGGGTCTTGTTGGAGATAATACAAATACAAGTTCAGGAACTTCCGATCGAAGTATGGAATAGTGAAACAAGTCAAGGGCTTCAATTCTTGTCAAAGACTTGATAGGCAAAAAGCTGACGAACTTTTTTTTCCTTTGACACCCAGGACCTTGAGAAACGTGTGAGATGAAAATGGGGAACCCCGTTACTTGCGACGTTTGCTCGGCCTGAGGGGGAGAGATGGAGCCTGTGGTTTCCCGCTGTGCGTTTGGAGTAAAATTATGCCATCAGGACCCTGCTGCTGAGGATCGAATTCATGCCCAGCGGCAAATCATTGTGTAGGGAGGAGAGTTTGGTCTGAATCCAAAACAGCCATACAAACAAGGCTGACCTGGAGGCCTTGCCCAACCTCATCACCTCGTCCACGATCGCTCCCAAGCATATGGAGCTGACATGCGTGTCCTACAACCCTGCATTTGTTGGGGCAGGCTACAAGAAAGGCCGCTTTTCGTCTTGTTTTCGAGTGATTGTCGCCTGATTTCGACTTGAAAGTCCCAGTTTTCTTTCTACATTGATTTGTGGTATTCGGCGCTTCTCATTGATGCTCTCTCTGACCCTTTCCGATGAAATATTCAGTCTAATGCTCTGGAACATGACTCTTTCACACTCAGTACTACTTTAGAGAAGCCCTTTCTGACTTCAAAAGTGGTTAAGTGTCGGAATGGCGTGAAAGAAACAGAAAAGAAAAAAAGAATGGAAGCCGCCACATTACTCAGGAATGCGTACCCGCCACAGAGCAATCAACATCATCGATAAATATCATGGGTAGATATTGTTAGATATTCATACCATTAGATATCATCACTAGATATCACTACATCTTGACATTGTTTATAGACAGGCAGGCAGGCAGGCAGGCAGGAAGGTGGGCGGATGAGTGGGAGGGAGTAATCTGTGTTAGATACTTGTTATATATCTCACTAGCATTAGCACAAAAATCCCCACATCAGAGCTCCTCGATATCATCCATCTTCATAATACAATATCTCAATAAAGATACATCACCAAAGTCTTCGTAATACCACATAATAAAGATAGAGATAGGGAGAGGGAGAATTCAAAAAAATAAGCTTTGTAATGGCGGGCCACATAAGCGAGCGGGCCATCTCAAAATACAAACAAATTTCAACTTTTTATTTGCTGTCTCATATCATAAAAAGCTACAAATTTTAGTTCTATAAGTTTCGTCTAACTAATTTACTGCATGACTTATAAAGATAGGTTTTCAATGTTTGACAAGAATTAATTTTAAGCAAATTTATAATTTCACGTACTTCAGCACCCACTTCATACCACCACGCTAATATGGTATGAGAGAGTACCTGCTCGTGTTTGTCTTGTTTGTCTTCTTTGACGAGGAGAACTCCAAGAAATGGTGGTGACGAAGCTAATTGTAAGAAGCTAGCAGGTCATATGAATACTGAAAATACGCGAAAAACTACATTTCAATTATATACAGAGTCGGGTGGTTTGCCTTAGCGACCGCACATGATGAACCGTATATCCATACCTTGGTAGTTAAGTTAGCTAGCTCCAGATTAACCATCGCACATGATGTATCGTATTTAGTAGCACAACTGCTGATTAGTATAGGAGAGATTCTGTTGAATTAAGTTCAGCAAAAGGAAGCAGCAAATAATCTATATTGCAGAAATAGAATAAGTTGGATGCCACTTCTGTGGCGCCTGTTCAAATTAATTTAATTACCTGTATATGATAGTACTCCGTATAAGTTCGTTATATATATATACGAAATCCATGGATACCCCTCTCTCACCAATGTTCCGAGTAAAACTCAAATAAATAACAAACAGAGATTGCGCGCGAACTTAAAAATAAAAAAAAACCCTCTGTTCTCGTTGCTGTGAGCTTGGAAGTTTCAACTCAAAACAACAACAAATGGTAGACAACGTAACAACAGTCCCTGAGAAATAATATGTATAGAGGGTTGGTGGGACTTGTTTGCCCTGGACTTTGTCCGGAGTATGTATGTAACCACTCTGTGTAGTGATGACAAATGCCTACGTAAGGACCAGAGGTCGAGTTTGATCTTGCTTTCTTTCTTTCTTCTTTTGTTCGCTTGCTGTTTGCAGCTGGTACACGAGCCGTAGCCTCAGCGTTAAAAAAAAAAAAAACTAACTGCACACATTTCAAGGTTATGATTACTGTTATTCGTTTTGCTCTGAATGGGTAATTTCTGGGAGCGACGTCGTAACCCCACCGAAAAAACCTTCCCTTCCCCCTCGTCCGTCATGGGAGGGAGGGGGCTTTCAAAGGAGCTGAAATGACAAGGAGATGTGGGTTAGCTAAATTTATAAAGTATTCTGGTTTACCAAAACAGCTCCTTGCATCTTGCCCAGTGGACGGAGAAATAAAAAATAAAATTGAAATTGAGCCAACGATGGCATCCATGGATAACTCCTCCATAGTCTGTCCCCTGATAGTTACCGAGGCAGTCGAATAAAATACTAGTGGCCGAGCTGCTAAATTTCACAGTTTCATCCAAAGGACGGGATCAAATGATTTCGCAGTGATTTCTTAGGGCTTATAAGTTATAGCTAGGTGTGCCCAGATGATGCCTGGAACTCGTTGATCAGGTGCTAAGGAATGCCGCTGGTGTCATTCAACAGGCTTCAGTCGCTGAAACATGATTGCAATTTTGGGGGTGTGGAAATTTTGCCTCCTTCCTTGGTTTGGGCTTCTCCGGCCCGCTGCTGCGTGTGTGATGAATGGGATGAATGGATGGAATGGATGAATGCATTGTCGGTGAGCGAAGGTTAACTATCACAGAGCACATATTTCCGTACAGAATTCATACATGTAGCGTACTGCAGAGAATTTGAAAAATGGGTGTTTGTTTCCTCAACTTCTTGATTCGACTGGTTTCATGCAGCACTGTACAGGAGTCTATTGTATTATTTTTAAAACTATCCGTTTTCCCCTCAGTCAGCGGAGCAGAAACGCGGTCCTAGTTGATTACCTGGGGGCCGGTCTGCCTGTGGTTGAGCCGATCAGATTGGAAAATCAGCATCGAATGCGCGCCTTCTAGTTCTTTCTTAAATAAAAGGGGCTGGTTGGTTGGTTGGGGGTGATGTTCATGGGGTTTCCGATCCAGAGAAAGGATTATTATGTATTCAAACGCATAACTGTGGACTGAGACTGGGGTCGAAAATACGGTAGCCGTGCATTATTGTGTGCACTCGCTCGCGTATCCAGACACAAAACACGCCCACCCACACATTTCGCCCTCGCCGCCCCATGGTGGTGACTTTTGTGAGGGTGGTGATGGGTGGTGATGGGTTGTTCCCAGTCTGCGAGCTGTCAGTTGCAAACCCCGTATCACGCCCAATCGCACGCCCTGGCTGCTTCCGATTAGTGGTTGGATCCATTGTTTGAAATCAGCCAGTCCACGCCGAGCGAGTAGTGGCAGGCTGGCACTGGCAGCAGAAGAAGCAGCAGCAGGAGCAGCTGTGGATATCATCTGCAGCGAGTCACCGTCGTCGTCGTCCGTTGTCGTCGTCAGGTCAAGTCATGTCAAGTCAAGGCCAGGTCAGACGGCCGGAGTCCTGTTAGGCCCCAGCATCCGAGTCCTGTCTGATGCAGCATCCAGGCAATAACTCACCACCTCGTAATTCGTAATTGTCGGCTGTCGGGGATGGAACATCGTGTTTGGCCTAGGAGGAGGAGGGAGGGTAACTTTGGAGTCGTCCAACTCCACCCAGGAACTTCGTTTTTCATTGAATTAGGCTAGTTACAGGGGACCCAGCAGTGACTGACGCCCGCCAGAGGGTTTTTTGTTTTTCCCTTTTTTTTGCTTTCTTTTTTCTTCCTTTTTTTTTCGCTTTCTCCTGTCTCCCGTGGTCTTCGCTTCCTTTTACTTTTTTCTTTTTCCTTATCTCTTGTTTGCACCAAGCCAAGTTAGTAAACTTCGGGGCCAGTTGACTCAGTGCGCAGCAGCAGTAGTCAGTCGACGGTAACTAGAGCGAGCGAGCAGCATAGTCCTTGTCCTTGTCCATTAATTGATCATTACTCCGTCAGTCAGTCCTTGGATGCGGCAGGAAATCCACAGTTCAGACACCACCAACCAAACCAGTCTTGGGATTTACTTTTGCGTCCTCCTCTTTTCTTTTTGCAAGACAACGAAGGATCAGCCTGTTTCCGGGCCAAACTCTGCTTGCTTGCTCCCTGTTGCTGCGGGACCTCCGCTAACTCCTGACTCCTCCCTCTCTGCCGCTCTGGCCGAAGACGTGCGAAATTGTCTCTCACGCCCTTGTGTGGCGTGGTAGTGGTAGTGGTAGTAGCGCGTATATATTTTTACTTTTTCTTCTCGACGTTTGCCTCCATTCAATAAGAACACAAAATAGTGATAACTAAGAGTAGTGATTAGTTACTTCTCTCTGCCTGCCTTTTCCTTTTTCACCCTGAACTAGTTATTATTCCCGTTGTTGGTTTTAAAAGGGTTTTTTTTAAGAAAAAACAACCATGCCGGCTCATGGATGAAATTTCGTAACCCATACTAGAAATAACTACGCGTGCTCTTCGGAACCATCCTTTCTCATTAATATCCGCCACCACTGCCACTAAACTCCTTCGACCAAAAAACCAAAAGTGGAACAGAGAGCCTTGTTATCTCCAATCCGCCATGCTCCATCCGTGTCTGCTGCTGCATATGTGAGACTTGCTCCCGTTCTTGTCGTCCTGAGCGTCCAAGGGCCGAGGGCGTCCCTTGATTCCCTTCTTATACTAGTGATTTGTTACCATTTTTCTCCACCCAGCTGGACGGCTCTCGTCGCTCTCGTCGCTCTGCCCTCTTCGGCGGTTCCCTGGGTTTGGTGGTGGCTCTTATTAGCTCATGTAATCGCGGCCTGTCTGGTGAACGACCAAAGATTCGCTTTTCGGCCAACCAATAGTTAACCACTTTCGTTTTTATACTGCGTAATTTGCCCGGCTTCGTTTATTTCTCGTCTTTTGCCGTGGTCGGGACCTCCTCCTTAAATCATAATATTCACCCAGCGGCCGTTGATGCAGTCGACGCTGTTTCGACGCAGTTTTGACGCTGTTATTAGTTCTTCTTGGGGATTGATTCCTCTTGAGCGCCAACCTTAACTTCCTCCGCACCTCCTCTATCCTTTTTCTGCCCAGCCCGGTCCCCTTCCACCGCCCCAATCTGCGTCACTCACTCTTCTGGACGAATTCAACCCGGCCCCCCCCCCCCCCGCCCCCTGGTGAAAAAGTGGTAACACAACCCCAAACCAGTCCCGTTTATAGCAATCTGCCTCTCGTTGTGAAAAAAAGATGAGACAGGGTCCGGGGTTGTTTTCAACCCCGGGGGGAAATTTTTTGTCTGCCCGCCCGGAGCTGACCCCAAAAAACCGGCCGTTTTTTCCACCGAGGGAGGCGAGGCGGGGGGGGCCTGCCCCAAAAAGGAATTTTTTCGTGCCCCCCCCTGGGCGCTGGCCCGCCCCCCAATGGGATCTTTTGTTTGACGGAAAGTTCTCCCGAGAGACAATTGGGGGAGAACCGCACCCGCGACAAACAGGGGGGGGAAGGGTGGTCCTCCCTCTCGAAATTGGGTCTCTTGGCCACCC